ATGAAGTGTATATCCACCTCTCTATCCATCTATCAAATGTTTGTTATTGTATACACGTTTCAAAAAATGAATAAAAATTTGTTGTTTTCTTCTTTATAACGAAAAATGTAATTATATTCTACTGTAAGTTTGTATGCCATTTTCAGAATTGTTTTTTAGAGGTTTTAACTACATTCATAATCCATATTATTATCATTATTAGTACCATTATTAGGACCATTATAATAATAATAATAATAATAATAATTATTATTATTAAAAAGGTCCAAAGAAGATAAATAAACAAACAAGAACAATTTTTTTCATTATTTAGTTGTTACTTGCATTGAGAAAAATAAACGAAACTAAAAAAAGAGGATGAACTAGTAAACAAAACAGACATCAAGTGACCAGTAGAATGAAAAATATTTAGTAATTTAAATAATCAAGTCAAATAGAAAAACAGTGTTATATCGTGTGCCTGCGTGTGTGTGCCCTGTTTCATATATGAACGTGCTGATTCCCGTCAATGAGAGAGGAGCGAACTATCAATCGGAGTAATGATACACAAAAGCCGTATGAGCAGTCTTGAATACTTATCAGTCCTCCTTTCTGAATATCTCAGCCAGTTAAGTTCAGAACACCAATAACAGCCTCTGCAATATGAATCATTATTGAAAAACATACCGGGTTTATGTACCAAAAAAACTGACCACATTGTACCATAAAATAGAAAATAACATTTGTACAAGATTCAGCCAAATGTGGCTGTGAATAGGCGGAACAGTAATTAATAGACTGGTGATAACTCAAGGATGGTGAATCGTATAATAATAGTCTATAGGTCAAAATAAAGCTTATAATAAAATAAACATGAATATGAATAGTTTAGTTACTTAACAATTGTACAATAGGAAATATACATATTATATTGGTTCATAGATAGTCCTCAGAGTTATCACAGGATATAACAGGCAGAATGGGAGATAAATACCATAGATGTAATAATGATTAACCTAATGTTGAGAAAATAGAGAGAAAATAAAATAATCAAATAGACCAGAAGAACTCAAATACATCCAGGATTACTATAAAGTGATGAATGCAATCTGTCGATAGTGTGATAGAAAAAGAGGAATGATTTGTTAGAAATAATGGAAAATATGATCAAATGTAGCTAATCAAAGAAGTCAATTTTATTTATTAGTAAGGCTAACGTTTCTTTACTGTTACTATTTCGACACTCAAATCGATACTTAGTATTTTCAATATTCTTGTTTTGTATTAGTGAATGTCAAGAATGCAATAGAGAGGGAGAGAGATAATAAAAAATCACCTTCAGAAAAAACATATTGATTGGAATATCGTATATGTAGGCATGACAACCGGAGTATTGGGTTTGAGAGTGAGAGGATGAAAACGAAATTCGAAACAATACTTTATCCTGTTTAATAAATTTCTGATCTGAATTAGGGTTTGTGAAGATTCCGGTACTTTTAAAAGTTAAATTCGTCAATCGATGTAAGCTAGGCCACCATTGAAAATCTAGAAACACGGGACGATCGTTTCGTCCTATTATGGGACTCCTAAGCTGTGCTCATCAACGATCCCACACGTGTGACTCGAAATCAGGACCTTCTCTCCTGTTCATGAACACTTAACCTGTAGACTACTGAGCTGGACGGCATCCAATGGTGTTAATGTCTAACTTCAATTGATCCATGATGTTGCTTAACCAATCGTCTATTGTCTGAGGTAGAAAACTATATCTACCCGACACAGATTCGACTCCACTGGTTATGGCTTCTCATTAAAACTCCAGAAAATCCATCTTGAAGTCAGTCATTATTGGGAGTTCCGCATATGGGATCGTGGGTGAGCATTGCCGATGGGTTCCATACTAAGATGAAAAAGCCCTCCAGTGTTTCCAGGTTTTCAATGGTGGTCTAGTTTGTATCGATTAACGAATTCAACTATCATTAAATTTTTCTTTATGTTCCACAGTTATATATCCATACTAAGTTTAAAGCAAATATATCGTTTAATATTACAGAATGTGAACTCAGGACTGTCTGTAAAATAAAACTGTTAGTGTTCAAATGACTAATGTACAATGTTATGTTTAAAATTGCTCATAGTTTAAATGAAGTTTTCAGATTAAGAATCAGATGACACAGGATGAAAGAACTTATGATACAATCACAAATCCCATCAAAATTTTTCTGGAAGACTACATAACGTATGAATGTATATGAATTTAGTAAGAAATAATAAAGTAAGGTAGTATCCTTGAATGACTTCAGAAATCTTAAGAAGATATATCATGAATAGCAATACAATCAGTAGAAATAGGGAATAGAACTCAGTTTTTTTCATATACTATTTTATTTCAACATCTTAAATGTTAAATTACCCGCAACTACATTATGAATCAAATTTAACATGTGTACATGATTGAATAGAGATGACTAAACCCATTTTATGTAACCCTGGTTTTGATTATCTCCTGTAAGCTGGCCAGACTATCTATTGAAACTTCAGGAATATTGAATTTCAAATTTACAAATATACTATTATTCCTGATATCCTTTTATATTTTAAGCTATAAATTCAATAAACATTAATGTAAATTAAGCGATTAGTTATTGTGTATTTTGTCGTTATTTACAATGAACTTCGTGTTTATTTAGTTCACTATTGTTTACCCATCATAAATTGAAATGGTTAACTATAGTGAAAGAATGAATAACTATCATTTTTACTAACAGATCAATATAAAGTAGATGAAGATCTTCATGGATATTCATTAATCAAGAAATGAATTTTTTAGATTTTCTTTCAGAAGAACTAATAAAAAGTGACTCAGTTTTTTTTTTTTGCTTTTAATTAAATGAAATATCTAGCTAGCATTAATGAATTGAATTTTAATATAACTGGACTCATAGTGATTTAAGTCTGCTCTGAATTATCCGTATAAATAAGCATTTAAGAAATCGCTAAGAGGCTTAAGCATTGTCATAAAACGTATTAAAAGTTTATTTAAGGATAAGTTTAAATGAAAATAAAACCATTAAGGATTTTCAGAAAGAATATCTATTCAGAGATTGAATAGTATATTGAGTTATCATTTCAAGTGTTTAAGAAGTAATGAACCGTGTGACTGCTGAGAAAACTAATCCAAGTGAAGTAGATAGTTAAAAATTACATCAATCAAAATAGTTATAAATATAGTATTAGGCATAGAAGGCATCATGTTCAAACATGTAATCATTAAAAATGCCTAACTTAACTAGCTAATGAAGAAGAGTTTAGATGAATTCAGTCAGTATGTACTGTTCCACGTGAGAATCATAAAATAATCAGAAAAATCTAAAAAAATGTGATTTGTAGCTTAGGTTTGCTAGTACACCGTATTCAACTTTACGTTAATTATATATATATATATATATATATATATATATATATATATGAGTATCAAAAACTGATTTTAGTCTGCAATCAGAAGGGGTTTCGTGGAGATATCAGTATTTCATAGTTAAAAGCATGAGTTAATTGAAGCTAGACCATCAAGGAAAACCTGGAAGCACTGGACGGCCGTTTCACTCTATTGTGGGACTCCGAAGCAGTGTGAATCCATGACTTCGCCTCGGATACCGGCTCAGTGGTCTATTGGTTAAGTGCTCTGGCGCGAGACTGGTAGGTCTCGCTAGGCGGGATCGTAGATGTGCACTTCTGAGGGTTCACACAGTAGGACAAAACGGTCGTCAAGCAGTGCTTTCAGGTTTTCCTTGGTGGTCTAGCTTCAATGGAATCATGCTGTCAACTATGATTTTAGTTTCTTATAAATAAATATAATACTTGTAACTTCAAGCATGCAATAACTTTGCTCAAAATGATTAATCTCTTTTTGTCATGAGATTATATATTTTACCAATATTCCTTAAAATAAATATAAGCAGTGCTGTTAGAAGATATCAGTTATCTATATCAAATTATTTTATTTAAGATAAAATAGAGATTAAGAGAGGCGACATTTTGGATAAATAATACAATAACATTCCAAACTGCTCACTAGTAGGCTTTCTTCCCTATCATGATCTAACTATTTTGAATTGAATATTTGAATACATTGGTCTCTCAATTATAGGGAAATGTTCTACAGCTTATCGAAATTTACAGTTATGTGGTAATAATGAATAACAATACATAGATTCGAATTAACCTGACTACTTATTCTCACCATAACAAATACTTATCAAATGTAAATTCATTCAGTATTGTTTGTTTGAATCTTCCCATCGATTTGTTAGGATGGCAACTCTCTAATTGGCATATGTGCATACTGTGCGAATTGCCTCAATATATCCATCTCTGCTTACCATGCTTGTGAATTAAGGTATATCGAGGCAATACGCACAGTATGCACATATGCCAATTAGAGACTGACCAGTTGCAGTCCTAACAAATCGATGGGAAGATTCAAACAAACAATACTAAATTGAATTTAAACTTCACCCCATCGCACAAGCAAGTGGCTATCAGGATTCAGTGGCCAAGTGGATAACGCGATGGCGTTTGAAGCGAGGGTACTGGGTTCGAGTCCCAGAGTGAACGTCAACTCTGAGATGCAGGTACATCCAGCTGACGAGTCCCAAATAGGACGAAGTGACGCGAGTCCTGTATTTCACTGCTAGTCACTATCCATCCCTGCTTACCATACTTGTCAAATGTGTTTTATCACCATTTCATTTTTTGACTTGGGAAATTGTTCCTCAAATTATTTCGATGCTAATTACAAAATGCATAATTGTAATTGGAGTTTTGGTAATGTTAAATAATTCATTTTGATTGGTTAATAATTTAACCAATAAGATGACTCAAAAAATTATGATTATAATATTTATTTATTTTTATCGTTAACATTTAATGCCTTTTTCATATTTACTGATTAGTTACAAATGTATTAGTAGTCAGTTTCAATTAGATTAAAACATACATATATACATTTATAACAAAAGATTATGCTTGATGGAACTTTATGGATAGAATACAATAGTACATGTAATGGAAATATAAGTACTACTGGTATTATAAAATTGGAATATTCTTTACCAATATTAATACTTAGCATAATTGCTTTAATATTAAATGGATTATGTATTTCAATATTTTCAAGACAACATAGAAAATCAGTTATGCGAACAAGTTTACTTGTTTTATCAGCTACTGAAGTACTATTTCATTTATTTGTTTGTATAGAATATACAACACAACTTATATGTTCATCAAATCCACGTATGATAAGTCCTACAGAATTTATATTATTTGCTCTTATTAATTGGGGTTCTGATTGTTCTTTATGTACACGTAATTGGTGTAATGTATTAATTACTTCAGCTCGTACCGAAGTAGTAGTGTATCCAATGCGTAAACGTCGTATACTTTCACATTCTTCAATCAAATTTATTTATGGATTTTTATGGATTCTATCTGGATTTCTTGCTATTGTACGTGCATTTTATGATTATGCAATTGTTTGTAATTCATCAAATGACTTAATTATACAATCAAGTAAAACATCACCATTGTATACAAATAACTTAGATTTATCCAATGATTTTGATGAAAATACAAACACTGTAACACATATTGATGCTTTACTAGATCAATATATCATTATTAACTATGAAGCTTATTGTTTTTTCATATTTCAAGTGATTGCACCAACATTATTTGTTTTAATTATGTCATTTATTATATCATTTTATGTTTCACCATGGCGTGATACTAAAATTATTGAAGTCACTAATGTACGTCGAAGACATCAAATGAAAGCAACTAGAACTATATTATTTTTAGCTATTTCATTTTTATGCTTTCAAACGCCTAGTTTTATATTAGTCATTATACAACATTATACTAATTTAAAAATTGAATTTCAATTAGCTAAACTAGTAGCAGATTTATTATTAACATTTGATTCTATTATTAATATAATGATATATGCAATTGGTTTACCGGGTTTTCGTGATTATTTAAATCGAATGTTTATTTGTTTATGTCCATGGAATCATAATAATCATAATATTGGGAACAATAATAATAATAATAATAATCGTATTCTGTTAAATTCAGTTGCATTACCTCAATCAGAATTTCATCCAATCTCATACAATAAGAATTCGAAAATTACACAATTCAAACCAAAACATTCATTGAATTGGAATAATAATCGTCAAGGTATTTATTGTTCACAACGAGAAAAAAATTATTTTCATCATGGAGATAAAAATTCACATTGTCACTATGATTCTTTACATGGAAATATACAAAATCAATATTCAAAGAATAATATTGATTGTATTGATAATTCACAATGTGATCATATTCATGAAAGTAAACAGAATTTAAATGAAGATTCATTGAGTATTAGAGAAAGAGAAATTTGTGATGATCTATGATTAATGTAAAAAGGAAATAGTTAAGATTTTTATTTAGGAATACATTAACATTACTATTATTAAGTTTGTAACTTACTTACTTACTTACTTACGCCTGTTATCCCTGGTCAAGGAACCTAGGCCGTTTGTAAACTATTGTATATTTAGTATTAATATTGATCTATTAATTGGTCATTTCTTTTTTGTAAATGTTACCGGCATTTGGTTTATTATCATTATTATGTTTTATTCATGGGAAGAATATTAAAAAAAACAATCAGATTTATAGTTTGTTCTATGTTCATAATACGAAATAACGTTGTTAGTATTTGCACAACGTTTTTAGATTTAGAATTGAGATTGATGTTGAAAAATTCATTTAATTAATTCTGAGCAGAATATGAAATAAACTTACCGATATCGATAGGTTTCATTACATTAGGATCGTATATATTGATATTTTTATTTTCAAAAGACCTGTTGAAGTAGGCTAAGCAATATAGAGAAGAATGAACTACATCTTATATTACTAATTATCAATCTATTGACGATTAAAGAACTAAGTAGAAGCTTTACAAACTATGTGGAACTAGTGAATCAATCCTGTATGTTAACAGTTTTATTCGGTATCTTTAGTCTCTTCTTTATTCATTCATTTTATTCACGGAAGTAATTTATAACAAATTTCTTATTTCACGCTTTACTCATTCAGAAAACTAAGTTTTGTCGAGCTGAAGTACACTGGACATATCTTTTAGAGGCTTGCTTGGTAATGAATTGGTTGAAGACTGGAGGGGGTCTACAGTGATGTTTGTAGTTGTTTTCTATTTTTTGTTTTTTAAGCGATTATGTTTTATAATCATATTGTGTTTACTTAATTATTTTGTACAACATGCATATGCACTAATCTGTCAATAAATGTGTGGCTAACAAGATTATCAAGTGTATTAAATCAAGTAATTAGATCAAAAACAGCTCTAAATAATAAAATGTTAGTTTTGAGAAGTTACATCCACAGTAGTTTATATCTTTCATCAGTATTCTTTATGGAACGTCCATGTGTTGAGTAGCAGATATAATATAATTTCTTCTATTAATAAGATATCTTAATCATGATTGTTATAGAAACATGATTAAGTGTTTGAAGTATAGAAATATAAGAAATGTGATTCACATACGTATGTGCATTAAACCTTGGATAAATGTGTTTCACTATTTATGTATGTGCACATTCAGTATATATAGTTATTTCATTTTGTTTGAACAAATGCTGCTAAAATTGATTACTTACACAAAAATTGAGATTTACTATGGATAAGGATAACATTTATCACATAATGTTAAACACCGAAAAACTTTCACCTTTATTAAGGTTAAGTAATCGAAAGCAAATATCAATTGAATCCCTATATGATAAAAATAAAAATGTAAAATAGATCATTACTAACCCACTATTTTAATGATATACTACACTTTCTATACCCTAATATCTATAATGTAGGAGAATGATATCATTTATGAAATACGGAACACTGGCGCCAAATCGAGACTAAGTCTAATTATAATAAGAACCATTATTTTAATTATCATTTGTGACATTTATGTCCAAATTGATTTATGCTGTTTCTTCTGTATATTAACATAACTGCTTCATTTAATATCAAAAAAAGCATCGGATTTTATTTTATATTTTGTTCTGATATGGATCTTATCACTTCATTGGAATATAAGTGTTTGTTACATATGGTCTCAATTCTGTTACGATTTACTCAATATCCTTAACTTGTACGGGTATGTATCATAGTTTATAAAGCTTTAGAATATCACTTTATAATAGCTCATCCTACAAATAGTTATGCAATGAAATCCTGTAATTTCACTTTCATATCTGTTAAGTAATTTATACATTACAAAACATCAATGTGTAACTCATATATATTAATATGAAAAGGTGATTATCGTAACGTTAGGTAAACAAACTGTTTTCTTAACGATTGCGAAATACTATTTAAGCATGAAAAAATAAACAATCCTATGTTATAATAACTGTAACACTGTAACACTAACATAATACAATAAGGATAATGTTAATAATTTTGTAATTATTATCAGAAGGCTTTTGTGGAGATTTCAATATTTTCATAGTTGAAAACATAAGTCAATTGAAGCTAGACCACCATAGAAAACTTGGAAGCACTGAACGGCCATTTCGTCCTATTGTGGGACTTCTCAGCAGTGCGCGTCCACGATCCCGCCTCACGAGATTCGAACCCAGGACCTATCAGTTCCCAGCAGTGTACATTCATAACCCTGACACCTGAGATATAACTCACGATCTTCAGTCTCGCATTCGTACGCATAACTTCTAGATTTCGGTAATATTCAATAATCTAAACAAGTTCATACTGAAAATAACTACAATTAAGCATACAATAAATTTTACAAATAACAAACAGTATAGCGCTAACCTAAAATAATGGTACTTCCACTATTCATTATTCATTTTTACATATTATCTATTAAATTTATTATCAAGATTCCAGTTGTTAATTGATCGCCTATCTGGTATCCTTGTGTTCAGGGAAGTAAATTCTACCTTCTAACAGTAATTCTGTAAATAAGTAATGGCAACCTTGAAAAATTATCATAATCTTGATGATAATTTCCTCTGTTTTGTTCCGGTTATTTTACATCATGAGACGGTGACCCGTAAGTGAAAATAACGAAAAATGAAACATTTAAAGTGTCTCTTCTAAACTCTTGTCATTCTTCTACTGATAATTAATACAATAATAATGCCTAGTACAATACAAATCATCTATGAATTTATTGTATTCCATGAAGTATTTCTAGTTCATATCTTCTTGCTTGTTCTAAAATTCCCCAGACTGTATATATTTACGTAGTAAACCGAATTGTGAGTAAACATTAGTAAGTGAACATTATTTTTTTATAATTTTTTAGTATATCAGATTGTAAATCAACAAACAGAATAAGGAATAGTGATAAAGATGGTAATATATATACATAATATTATGAGTAAATGTTATGGTATGATAAAATTTAAAAAAGGAGACAATAATATTCCGGGTATAATTCCACTCATAATAAATTAGATAATATTAGTAAGTCAATCAAAGAAAAATCCGATGGCAGTTACTGTGGCAACAAATACAATTCCACACACCCTCCATCATTCTATACAGACATAACTTGTAGACTTCTGAAAATGTTGTCTTTTACAAAGTAAAAATAATTCTTGACTACTTTTTTCTATGTAAATTAGTTTGAAAGTATAAGAATAACCAAATTATTATATATCTTATATCCATTAGTTACCTCTTAACTTGTTTATTTGCCTTCAAGCAGACAGATTTAATTATATACTCAAAATATTGAAGTGAACATTATGTTTTGCATATTTTTTAGTTAAAAGTACACAACCGAAGAATAGGTTAAAGGAATATTTATTATTGGAATGGGTTTTTGTGGATATTTTAGTCATTTTAGTAGTTGAGATCATGAGTCAATTGAAGCTAGACCACCATGACAAACCTGGAAGCACTGGATAGCCGTTGTGGGACTCCTCAGCAATGCTCATCCACAATCCCGCCTCGCGAGGTTCAAACACAGGACCTACCGGTCTTACGCGCGAACGTTTAACCTCTAGATTACTTATCTAGCCGGCATCCAACGCTGTTATTATCTAACTTCAACTAATCCACGAAGTTGAGTGACATATCCATCATTATCTGCAGTGAGTTACTATCTCACAACAGACCCGGTTGAACTCTTTTGGGATCATGAATGCGTACTGAGGAGGTGTCACACAATAGGATGAAACGGCCATCCAGTGATTCCAGATTTTCCATGGTGGTCTAGCATCAATTGACTCATGATCTCAACTATATAAAATACTAAAATCTTCACAAAACTTCCTTCTGATAAATGAAAATTTATTAGAGTTGGTAATAGTTTAAATAATTCTGCCTACAAAGATATTTCACTTTATGTATTTAAATAGCAGATTACTTGATATCCATAAATAAGGAAATGGAATATTATATATTTAATGTATATAGTTCACAGTCGTTCACTACCTTGTACGCATATAAACTTAGTTATCGCTTGATTAATCACAATTCATTCAATAGGAATAATTTTATTTGCTTGAATTCTATTAATTTATGAGTAATGTACAAATAAATAGCATAGAAAATAGATTGTACATACGTTAGTTACACGTGAGGTAAAACTACTTAGATTTGAAATGAATCTCGAGAAGCGGGATCGTAGATGCGCACTGCTGAGGAGTCCCACAATAGAACGAAACGGCCGTTCATTGTTTTCAGGTTTTCCATGGTGGTCTAGCTTCAATTGACTCATGATTTTATTTATGCAAAAAAGATTGTTGTAGTCGTTGTATTCACGACCAGTTTATATTTTTTTCATTTTCTTTTTAACCTATCTGTTTTCGCTTTGACTTATTATCTCTTCATTTTGACAATTATTTATTTTCACAGTTGAAATCATGAGTCAATTGAAGCTAGACCACCATCGAAAACCTATTTATTTGTTTTTTGGTTTATATAGGAGAATGTGAATGTAAACGGTATATTTCACCAATATATTTTGACTGAAAGTTTTAGGGAATTATGACACAATATATGTATTAGTAACATTAGTAGTGAGATTTTATGTTACTCTATCGTTGATATTAGTAACTGAATTTCGATGAAGCGTTGTTGGTATGTAAGTGTAGACACTAAGTTACAAACTATCTAGAATAGATGGATTGTGACTACAGTAGAGCAATCTGGATATACCTGAATCTGTGGATTGATGATCAAATATCCACTTAGGACAACAAAGACTGATTAAAATTCAGCTTTAATCATCATAGATTATGATGCAAAGGTTATACGTGTTGATCAGGTTAACAGTTATTACGATTAAGTACTCCAGTGGATAACGTTTTTAGTATTTGAAGCGACCGGTTGTTATAACTTGTATCCGAGTGG